AGGAGCCGCTGGGAAGGAGGCTTAACGGAGCCCGTGCTGGCCGCTGGGGGCACAGGGCAGAATGCTCAGCGCTTCGGTCACTCCGTCAGGACCAGCCCGGCCAGCAGAGCGGGGCTGGGCCGTCGGCTGGGCTGGGGAAGGGGCGCTGTCCAGGCAGGACCCGAAGCAGCCGGGCAGTGACTGGGGGGGGTGAACCCGCCGACAGGGACATGCAGTGACTGCTCCATCCTGTCCTCGGCGGCGGAGGGGCTGCCCGGGCTGGCGGCCAGGTCAGCATGGGTGTCAGGACCTTCAGAACACCCACAGGGCCGCAGGCTCGCAGCAGCGCCAGGTCTGGCTGGCTGGTCAGGAGCAGGCCCGCGGGGGCCAGATTAGCAGTCAGGCCTTGTTATAGGGCCGCGGGTGAGGGCTGGGACCAGAGCCCTGGACGGACAGTTTGGGGAGAACTGAGGAGCTGGAGGGCGGTGGCCCGGAAGCCACGTCTCCGCATTGTGACCGATGAGTTCGCTCCTGCGCGGGCTCCCGGCCCATCGGAAACCCGGGCGCCCTGCTCCGTCCCAGTCGTCGGTCTGTGTGTGGGTCGGCGCGGCCCTTCCTTCCCGAGTGGCCCCTTGGATTTCGGCGCCCTGGGCGGCAGCCCCAGGCTTCGCTGACTTTGAAGACGAGCGGTGCTCACAGCCACGAGAAGCTTCCTGGGCCGAAGGCAGTTTGTTTCCCTGGGGGGACCTCCCTGGATGTGTGTTTTGGAGTTTTACGGTCTTGGATCCAGGGGTCCCCACTGCGGTTGGCAGGGACGGAGACTGCAGGTGGGTCTGCAGGCCTGAGATGTGGCCTCCCGCTCGGGGGCCCTGCGTGACCCCGTCCAGCAGGATGGAGCCAGGCCCGGTGGGTGGGCGGCGAGCAGGACCGGACGGCCTCTCCCCGATGAGCTGTGCCTCCCTCCTGAGGACCCCTCTGTGTCGGGCCGGCCAGGCCATCGCTCTGTTCAGAGGCGGGTGGGGGGCAGGACCCGGCCCCAGTGGTGGATACGCCATCGCACAATGCAGGGAATTACGGGCGCGGTGTAAGCCGGGGGCTCGTGTGACCTCGTGTCCCCTAGACGTGAAGGAGGGGCAGGATTGCCAGGGTGATCCAGAGATGAGTGGCTGCAGCCCGTGGGGGTGAGGGTGCCCCATCCACCCTGATCGAGGGCGCCGCGGTCACCCCACAGCCTCAGGCGCTGAACTTGGCATCTGCTCCTGTGGGGGGGCAGGTGGACCCAGGGGACAGTCCACCTGGACACACCAGGTGCCCCTGAGACTCTCACCCGTCACCTCGCAGGGCAGGACCTCTGTCCACAGAGCCAGTGCCCAGCCGCAGTGGTTGGTTCGGGCGACTGCTCCGCACCCCGAGGTCCCCCCGGAGCTGCGCCTCAGCCGCCGGCAGTTCCGAACGCGCCTGCTCCCCGGGACCCAGGAGCCGCAGCCATATGTCCCCTGGGGTGGGGAACGCACTTCCTCCCCGTTTGTGATAAGACTGTTGTGTTGCCTTATTTATTTTTTAACTTGTACAATTTTCATGCACAAACGTTAGGGCCTTTGAGTGGGATTCCCTGATTTCGGAAGCTCTGTAAATAGCATGCCGGGTGCTTGCGGCACCCGCCCCTCCCTCCAACAAGGACGGCCATCCCGACGGGTGGGGTTTCTGACGCATCACACCCCTGCTTGTCCCACGTGACCTGTGTGTCCCTGCATGACCCTCGCATGTCCGTGCCCGACCCCAGTAGCGCAGACCACAGCCCGAACTTCCAGATGCTTCCACGGGCCACCAGCCTCGCTGGCCCGCGCCCCGGCGTCTTCACCCTGCGGGGTACACGCCCCTGCAGACCCAGCCACCTGGACCTACTGTGTCCATGTCTCCAAAGCCACCGGGGCTTCCAGATACCTGGTGAACCGGAAGCAATAACTAACCAAATGCAGGGACACGTCTGGTCCTGGGCCGGTTGCTGAGTCAGAGACACGCCACGTGCATGTGTTTGCCCGAACTTAGGGCGCCGTGGAGCTGACACCCCAGCCGCACAGCCCTGCCTGCAGACCCAGCTTGACAGCCCCCTGGTGGGGCTGGCTGTCCGCTGAGGCTCGGAGCGGAGGCCCAGCGTGGACCCCTGTCAGCTTGTCCTCTGGGCTGTCCCTCCGGCCGGGACGCCCGTCTCCCGTGGGAAACAGGCTGCCGTGGGCTCTGGGCTGGGCTGGGGCACTGCCAGCCTCCAGACACCACGTGTGTGCCCCCCTGATAGGAATACGGTGCTGCCACCTGGAAACAGCATCTAGGCCCTGCTTTTATGGTCACTCTGGAAGGAAGGTTGGGTCAGCCCATCCGCTCTTCTGCACCGCGTGTCCCCGTGACCCCCGAGCCGCGGGGTCCTGCGGGTCCGTGCCACGTGTCAGGCCCTGCCCGAGGCGCCCGCAGCTCGCGAAGCAGGAGTGCATGTGCTGCTGCGGGCGCCTGTCGCAGGGACGAGCTCACACCTGCGCCGTCACCGAGCGGACGGGGCCCAGAGCCTCTTTGGTACTTTTAAAAAATATATGTTTTTATTGATTTCAGAGAGAGGAAGGGAGCGGGGGAGAGAGAGAAACATCAGTGATGAGAGAGTCACTGATCGGCCACCTCCTGCACTTGTGTCCTGACCAGGAATCGAACCGTGACCGCCTGGCTCACAGGTCGATGCTCAGCCACTGAGCCACACCAGCCGGGCCGCTTTGGTACTTTTGGTTCTGAAAACATGCAGACCCGTAGGCTCTCTATATACAGTGGCCCCCAGAAACGGACTCCCCCTGTTTTGTGATGGCTTCAGTTAAAAAACTCAAAAGAAAATCAACCTTCCCAGAGGCAGTTGGTTTGAAAATATCTGTTTGCTGTAGACAAGGAGCCGGCTGTGGGGCTGGCAGCTGGCGGTCAGTGGCTTCGGGGGGTCACGCTGATCCTCAGCCAGTGGCCCCCCAATTTTATTTAAAACTGTGGGTTCTGCAGCAGGTGGGTGACGGGAGGTGTGACGCTTCCTCACGGGGCTTCTGGGTCTTTCGGCTGAGCGAGGGCCCAAGGTGTGCAGGCGTGTGGCTCCCAGGCCGGAGCTCGGCCGGCGGCGGGCGGCTGTGATTCTGGCGAGCTGGTGGCAGGGCTGGAGGTGGCTGAGACAGTGTGGGCCCCACGTGGGGGGACGGGTGTTGGGCGCGAGGGGCACCTGGAGCAGACTGGACGGGCTGGTGTGGCCAGCAGGGCAGCTGCTCAGGCCGGCCATGGCCCAGCCCCAGCAGCCCCGACCCGACTTAGGTTTTCCCCCTGAGAGTGTCAGGACCTCGAGGGCACAGCCCCAGCCAGCCACCCACAGAGGGAAGCTTCGGGCTCATCTGCGCACAGGTGCCCACGTGGCGGGGGGTCCCCATGGCCCACCCTGGGTGTTCCCAGGCAGGAATCATCTCACCCAGACCCCGCGTTGAGATGAGGTCGGCTGTGTCCTCTGGGCTGAGCCCTGTCTCTCCTTTAGTGACTGATCCCTCAGGACATAAACTGTTCAGCCTGGGAAACCCTACTGTGCCTGGTCCCACCTTCTGTCCTGAACTACATCTCGAGGCACAACCTGTCCCCCCTAAGGAAGCAGACTGTCCTTCTGCAAGGAGGGCGACTGCCCTGTCCCTGTCTGTAAGGCCCCTTTGGCATTGGATACAGCAGAAGGGGGACCCCAGGCACCCCCAAACCACACACACCTCTCCAGTTACCTGGACCCTGCCCAGCTCCCAACTCCTGGTCAGAGCCACCCAGTGTCCCTGTCAGCCTGCTGGCCTGGGGTAGGTGGTCAGTGTCCCTTCCTGGGGATCAGCGGACGTCCAACAACAGACTCATGGGGGTTACGGCGGGTGGTGAGGAACTGGGGACACTGAGTACAGAGCCTGAGTCCCACGGCGCTGGCAGCTCAGGCTTCAGTGTTTTGGTTTCCAAACAGGCGCTTATTGAGAGACGGTGTTTAAACGGAGGGGGTGACTTGGACTCACCTCCAGGAGATCCGCCCGGCCCCTAGGGCTTAATAGCCGTGGGTGTGCTCTGTGGTCACAGTCCCCCGGGCGCTGTCTGGGCTCCTGCGTGAGCACTGGGCCCGTGGCCTGCCGGCAGCCGGAACCTGTCTCTCGCCTCCCACCAGCAACCCCCACGCACCCCAGCACGAAGCACACGTCTCAGGGCAACGTCCCCTCGTGTCCTGGGAGCCCCGAGGGAGCCCCGCGGCCCCCGCCACCCAGCAGGAGCCACACTCCCAGCTCCGTCCTGCAGAGGGGAGTGGTTTTGCCTTCATCCCCGTAAACACCGTGGACACCCAAGCCATTCGCACACGGGGTTGCATGCGTGAAGTCCCTGACCGTGTGGATGTAGTCTGAGTCTGGAGTCACGCAGCATGCACAGCAAGGGGGCAGCCCGCCTCGGGCCATCTGCCGGCTGGCCGCAGAGCGTCCCCGACAGGGTGTCCCCGACAGGGCGGGCCCCGGAGCCCGAGCCCTGGCTCCCGCACTCGCCCGCCTGCCCCACTCACACGGATCGTGCAGCGGAGACACGGAATGTAACCTCTCAGCGGTAGGCCCCATTCCCATTTAGGTAGAGCCCCGCCCGCCGCGGGCTGTCTGTCCTCCGTGGGAACGTGAGCAGAGGCCCGTGCCCGCCGGTGTCCCCGCAGTAGGGCTGTCCCTGCAGGGCACGCAGGGGCACGGGGCAGGGTCTCCCACCGGGACAGCTCGGTGAGCATGCTTCATCCAGCGCGAGCACAGGCCGACACCTCGACGTCACCTTCTCATGACAGATTTGTATGGTCAACACGGGTCTATTTTTACGCCAACTGGACACTGTAGAGACCTCCCAGTCTTTTCCAAGATTGTTACACCGAGACGAGTCATTGAATAATCTGTCCTATTTTTATTTGAAAAAAAAAACCAGTGAACGGACAGACGTTAGATGTGAATGTACGTTTCTTAATCGCAACTTTTCTACCGAGTGTTTGCACTACACTTTCTGGAATCTTACTTAACAGAAGTAAAGGAAGACATTGCTTGACTAAACCTGTGGTGGTTTTTATTTAAGTAAAATAGGTTTTTATTGATTTTAGAGAGAGAGGAAGGGCGAGGGAAAGAGAAACACGGGTGGGCTGCCTCCTGCACGCCCCTCCTGGGGACCAAGCTCACGACCAGGGTGTGTGCCCTGACCGGGAATCGAACTGTGACCTCCTGGTCCCTGGAACGATGCTCAACCTCTGAGCCACGCCGACCAGGGCTGTGGCCATTTTCATGGAAAAACAAGTGCATGTTGTTCAGATACTGCCGCCTGAGACACTGTGATCTCCTAAAATCCCCCTCCCTTCTCGGACCCTGGCTGGCTCTGCCCTCCTGTGACGACAAAGCCCGTGTGTGGTGGGTGGAGCTGTGGGTGAGACGCTGGGGCCGTAAGGAAAGTGTGGAGACTCAGCAGAGTGAGGTCGGAGGGCCAGGGAGTTGGACATCGCGGCGGGTGCTGAGGAACTAGACCAGCTGCTGGGGGCGGGGGGCCCTCCATCAGCAGGCTTAGCGGGATTGTTGGCGAGAACCGGACTCCGCAGGCCAAGGTCGGGCCAAGGTCGGGCCTAGCGGGGGAGAGGCCCTAAGGAGCCTGGCCGGAGTGAGTGGTTGGGGGGAGGGTTTGCCACTGGCTGTGGTGACCGGGACACAGCGAATGCTTGTCCTATCCCTGCGTCAGGATCAAGAGCAGCAGGGTTGACGCCGGGACCCCAGCATCCTGGAGCTGGTGGGCGGGGAAGGAAGGAGTCTGAGGGGGCGGCTGGGGCCTCACCCAGGGGACCACGAGAGCACGGTTGGGGTGTGAGCACGTTTCTGGGTTTTTCCGAGTATGGAGCCGAGGAAGAGATAGAGGCCAGAGTGTGCATCCCACAGACTGCGGCCACGGTTTCACGAGAAACTTTACTTTTAATCATGACGACGGGAAGGACTTACTTTCACCAAGGTATTTAGTTCCCGCTTCTTTCCACTTTCATGTCTTATTTGAAAAATTAATAAACGTCGTTTTATAATCTGATAATTGTTATAACAAAGGAAAAAGTGAACCAGCTGAAGAGTTGGCTTATAAAGGAGGAACTAGCTCAGGAAACACACATTGAAACGCCACTCAGGGGATGCGATCTCACCACACTCGCGGGGCGTCTGCGATGACAGCCAATGACCATCCCCTCCTGGGAGGACTGTCATCGCTCCTTCCGTGTTGGGGACCTTGAAAGGGATGTGGCACTTCCGGGGAGACCAGGTTTGCCATCTGCCCCCCCGAAGCTCAGGTACGTCCCTGCCCTCAGAAACCCTGGCCTTGCTCGCCCGTGGCACCTACGTGTCCCACCCTCTCCACCCAGCCTTAGAGTCTGTTTGGGGTGCCCCATTTCAGGGTTCCTCATATTGGGGTTCCCTGTCAGGGAGTCTTATTTTAGGATGCCTCATGTTCCCCGTGTTGGGGTGCCCCATTTTAGGGTGCCTCACGTTGGGGTTTGAGCTGGGTTTCTGTGAGACAAGCTCAGGGGCTCCCTTTCTTCCCCACAGCGTGAGGGTCAGCAATGGCCCCTCCGTCTGGCCCGTAGAGCTCAGTGCTGGGGGCATGGGCAGGACGGCAACTTCCTCTGCCCACCACTGAACGAAAGAAACTCCGCAGGTCCCAGAGGCCCTCAGGCTGAGAGCCCGTGTTCCAGGCTTCTCCTGGGGTGACCCTCTGAGCCCACAATGTCAGATGCCCCTGCCTTCCCCCGGCCGGCGGGTCCCAGAGGTCCCTGGTCTTTACCTGTAAAATGTCACTGACCCTACACCAAGTCATCCTGGACTCGGGGAAGCAGGGTCTGGGGC